CCCACTCCCACCCACATCTCTCACACACACTCACACACACACACACACACACACACACACATCTCTCACACCCACACTCACACACACATCTCTCACACCCACTCTCACACCCACACTCACACACACATCTCTCACACCCACTCTCACACCCACACTCACACACACATCTCTCACACCCACTCTCACACCCACACTCACACACACATCTCTCACACCCACTCTCACACCCACACTCACACACACATCTCTCACCCCCACTCTCACACACACACACACACACCCACTCTCTCACACACACACACCACTCACACACACACACTCTCTCACACACACTCACACTCACACACACTCTCTCACACACACTCACACACACTCTCTCACACACACACACACACACACACACACACTCTCACACCCACACTCACACACACATCTCTCACACCCACTCTCACACACACACACACTCTCACACACACACACACATCACAGCCGTCACTGTCCACACATGTCCAGATCATATTTGACCCAAAAACTAAAGAAAGAAATAAGAAGTTATATTTTGTTTAAAAAAAATGAATCCTCTTGTTTTGTTTTTGTTTTTGTTATTATTAGGTTAGGTCTATTTCTATATATATCTATATCTGTATCTCTCTATCTGATGTTGTAGGACATTGAAGCCGATCACTACAAACTCCTGAAGAATCCACACATGTCCAGATCATATTTGACCCAAAAACTAAAGAAAGAAATAAGAAGTTATATTTTGTTTAAAAAAAATGAATCCTCTTGTTTTGTTTTTGTTTTTGTTATTATTAGGTTAGGTCTATTTCTATATATATCTATATCTGTATCTCTCTATCTGATGTTGTAGGACATTGAAGCCGATCACTACAAACTCCTGAAGAAGTTAAGAAAGCCCTCTCCTGTGGATAAAATATCAAGCGATCTTGTCTACAAGTCTCCCACAGCGGTCCGAATGCCATCACTGGACCGCGGAGCTGGAGATGGTGAGGAAAACTGATGTTTAAAGGCCTTTTCACACTGAACGCGAAGACGCTTTTGATCCCTGTGGGGCTGATCACACCAGCCACGATCAAAACTACGCATTTTTTGTGTCGATTTTTTTTCCCCCGTCGCTCCGCGATGAAACGGGCCGTCCAATCAGATTTGAGCTTAGATCACGTGTCTGGAGCAGCTGCTCTTGCACAAAAGGGTGCGAGTGTTTCGAAAACCAGAGTAAACAAACACCGAAGAAGAGAGTGGATGCTGAGTTCTTGTTATCAGAAGACATGCATAGAATGACACAGTAAAGATGAAATAACACTAATATAAGACCAACAGAAAACTAAATAATGCACTATATACAGAAATAGAAGTATAGAGAAAAAAGCATGTAATCGTTTAAATGAATGTACAGATATGTTATTTACAAGTGTACCGTTTATGTATTTAACAACATACAATTACCAGATACTATGTATAAAAGTGTCTGATTTTTAATTGTTCGGGCTGAATATGGCCTGCGGGAAAAACCTGTTCTCATGCAACAGCTCAAAGAGGGAGTGAGCTGGGTGTGAGGGTGGTTTTTCCAGCCCTTTTCCTCACTCTGGAGCTGTAAAGATCTGTGATGTTGGGCAGTTTAAAGTGGCTCAATCGTGATCATATCTCCTGCCCTTCTGTATGAAACCAATAGAGAGAAACATTTTTCTACACATGTGAAGATTTGTGCTCCAATATCAAATGAACGTACGTTTGTTCGGTTTCTACGCACAGTTTAACACTATCGCACAGTTCGTAACTGGACTCCTGTTTATATCGTAACGGGGGGGGGCGTGTCTATGAATTCTGACATGTCATGTGACCTGCAAGCTGACACATTTGCATTACGTGTAAATACTGTGAACTTTTGTCGCTCACTGTTTGCGGTAGTTCATTCGTAGCGCAACGGGTGCTTGAAACACAAATGAAGGGATCGGGAACTCTAATAATAATAAAAAAAAATGACGCAACTTTGCGTTTGAAACACGAGCGTCTTTATAAGTGTTTAACTCGTACACCTAACCTGCCAAAGGAGGATTGTTACCTCACCTCCTTTTAAGTTTGTTTTGTTTATTTTTTATTTTAATAATTGTTTTTGCGAGTTTATGCGTGACTGCAGAACGTTTTTAACGCGGATTGAATTCGGCGGCGGTTGCTTGTATGGATAACTACTGTTAACTCAGGTGGAGAAATGTAGACGTGATTTCTCTCGTTAGCTTTAACTCTTTCCCGTGCGTTTCCTTCTCGACTTTGGTTTCTTGCCTCATTCCTCCATCGTTCTACATTCATTCGTACGCATCAACGGCTCGGCGATTTGTACGCTGCACAACGAAGAAACCCGTACTCGTGCGAACTACTGTACGTAAAGGTTTGTTTTTATTTTAATTGACATTGACTCGTGTAATATAGTTGACGGCCTGTTTTATATGTTCATTTCCTGTAAAGCTCTAGTCATTTCTTTAATTTTATTTTTTGTAGATATGACGAGCGAAAAGATGTGTAAATTATTTTCTCTTCCTCTTTTTAAAAATGGCGAGATTGTTAGATGCACAGAAGGAAAACGAAAACCCGTGTTAAAAAAACTCATGTGTTTTGTGAAATTAAAAATATGTTTAAAAAACAACAACAACCGTGCAGTGTGTTTTTGGTGGGGAATTTTAAGCACGGTTTCTCATATCCAAAACCTGTCCGGACAGATTTTCTTCTCACATTCCAGTAACTTTATCTCTGATAGGGAATGAAAAGCTGCTTTGGAATTGGATATGGCCTTTGAAAACAGATTGAAGCATGAAAATCGATATCTGTCAATATTGTTGTGAGCACTAATGATATATAGTGTGAACACTAATAGTTTTTAGCGTTTTATATATAAAGGTGAGTACAGGAATGCAGTTTGTATTGGATTTGCTTGTTTTACTTTTTTGGTGTACGGATATATTATATTATTTCTTAAAAGGCTAATGTCAGACCGTTTTAGTGGAATTATTTGAGGATTTATTGATCTTTTGGAACTGATGTGTTTTCATGAAGAGAGTCATAAATGTCAGATCAGGGCAAGCCTTCGCATGTTTTTTACATCCTGTAATTTTATACAGTGAATTAATTACTATTTCTGTTCGCCAAAAGCACAGTTTATATGTTACCTTTTAGATCTTAGCTCTTTCATACATCACGTTTTGCTTAATTTGTGAAGCTACCGTTTGAAGTCTTGACAATTCAACCCATTATAGGAATAGTATATGTTAAATGCATTGTATTATTTTTATTTTTTTTTCCCTAGTAAATGTTCAAAAGCTTTTTGGAGTCGCAAAGCATGTGTGAGTACAGAAATTGACTTCGAGAATGAAACCAGATAAATATTCATAAGAGTAAAAGTGTGACAACTAGCCCCGGTCTATTGTTTCACAAGTTTGAAACCTTTTGTGAGCTTTTAATATCAAAGAAAATGGCACATATATATATATATATATATATATATACACACACACAGGTGCATCTCAATAAATTAGAATGTCATGGAAAAGTTCATTGATTTCAGTAATTCAACTCAAATTGTGAAACTCGTGTATTAAATCAATTCAGTGCACACAGACTGAAGTAGTTTAAGTCTTTGGTTCTTTTAATTGTGATGATTTTGGCTCACATTTAACAAAAACCCACCAACTCACTATCTCAACAAATTAGAATACTTCATGAGACCAATAAAAAAAACATTTTTAGTGAATTGTTGGCCTTCTGGAAAGTATGTTCATTTACTGTACATGTACTCAATACTTGGTAGGGGCTCCTTTTGCTTTAATTACTGCCTCAATTCGGCGTGGCATGGAGGTGATCAGTTTGTGGCACTGCTGAGGTGGTATGGAAGCCCAGGTTTCTTTGACAGTGGCCTTCAGCTCATCTGCATTTTTTGGTCTCTTGTTTCTAATTTTCCTCTTGACAATACCCCATAGATGCACCTGTAGAATGTGCACAGTGTCATTCACACAAGCACTAAACACCATCACGGTTACACACATGATACTGAAATGATGCAATAAACATTAATTTAACAACATTACATGTAGGATAAAACCCGAATGTACACAACTGAGAAGAAGAAAAACATAAGAAGAAGAAACAGTTATTTCAATGAAAAAAACATCAAATATGAAGTGTCATGCAAGGAATTGTGGGAGTGTCAATTTATGTTTGATTGTTTTGTTTTTTTACTGTAAATTATACAATGACTTGTTTTTCACTTCCAAAAAACTTAATTTTAACAGTCTTATTGTGAAATTACATTCAATGTAATCACAATTTGTCACTGTGTATATAGTACAGAAACTTACTGTTAACCAATTAACAGTTTTTTACTATAGCATTTTTACAATGTTTTCCTGTTAAAATAACGGATCTTTTTTTTTACATTGGGGCTATAAAAATCCCATAACTTTGGCAAGTCATCACAATATATAAACCTCCTCCACATAAGTATGAAATCAGCTTGGTGTGGATAAAAGACTTATGTAAGGTGCCTACTTGCCAAAATCATTTAGTTTCACAGAATCTGAGTGCTAATGCAAAAAATAGACTAATTAAAATCAGATCTGATAAAGCATGAAGAAATTGCCATATGCAACTCCCGTATTATACAATCAGCTGTTAAATAAGAGTCAAAATATGGAAATGTATCTTCGATTATAACTGTGGAATAACAAAGTAGAACTGTATTGGCAAGGCACAGGTTAGTTGATACACTTGCTGGTAAATGCCTGTACGTGACAATACCTATCATGTACCACTAGATGACAACATTGAACTACCTATAAATGTACTCCACCAACATGATTTTGCCCTTGAAAATTATAGGATGATGTTTTTAGCATGCAACAAACATAATAAATGATAATCTGACAATGGATACTAAATCTGATACTAATCAGAAAATCTCTTTAAGTAATACCTTTTGAATGCTGGGGAAAACAGTTGATTGCTGGTCCTGGGTAAATGTTATTCATTATATTTCATAGAAATTCAAAGTGATGATGTTTCAAGAATGACATGGTGACGTTTTGGTGACTTGGTGATTTTAGTTCATAACTGTCTATCATGAAATCATATAATATGTTAACCAACCAATCTACAGTAGGCAACTATCAAAATCCACAAAATTGACCTTTCCAGCCATTGCGATAAACCAATAATCATTCTAGAGAGCACAGTTAACCACACAAACAAAGCAAAAGATCATTAGGGTAACACACACAATTCTAAAACAAAGTCAAATTATAATGTCCATTGAAATATGGTATTAGGTGTCTTACAGTATACCAGTTCACAGCATTTTCACATTGGTTTGCCTTTAAAATTACGAATTTTACAGTGCATGCTGAGCTCAGGGTGGGAGACCAGCTTCAACCAGTTAAAACTAGCAAGATGTCTATTTCAGCAGGAGGAAAACAAATTATATATATATATATATATGTATACAGTGAGGAAGCCATTTCATGGCTGAAGTAAAAGCGGAACATGAATCAGCCCATCGTCTATGCATTACACGCGCAGGGGAGGGAAGACCCTCTCTGCCGGACGCCCTCGCAGAATGGTGAATCACACGAGCTGGATTCCGCCCCTCCCTCAAAATGATGTTACTACTACAAGAAAGACTCGTGATTCTCCGCGAGGCAAGCCCTCCCTCGGGCTGACGTCACTCACGCGCATAAATAAGGGATCCGGCTCATCGCCGACCACAAGCGAAACCCTCAGCGGGAGAGTGACGGCGTTAAGCGGAATAACTGGAATTTTGACATTAAACGGAAGACGTTGTAGACGCTATCACATGTAAGTATCATTTTGACATGTTTTCATATCATACAACTCCTCTTGGTAACTTAGTAGTAATATTATTATAGGTGTACGTTTGTATCAAACTGTCATTATAGTGTACAGTTGTTATAATATAGTTTTACACAGACAGGTTTGGAGTCATGACCTTAAACAAAGGAGACAAGTTGAGGAACATGGACAAGAGGAGAGGTAGCATGCCGTTTCCCCTCCACCTGCAGAACTTGCACAGAAGGAGCATGCCGGTGGACGACCGAGAGCTGCGCTCGACGACCGAGGCTCAGCCCACCGAGCTGTCCAGCCTCATGCGCTTCAGTCCGGCAGAGGAGCACAGGAACAGCTGCGTGTCCGACTCCTCCGACTCGGTCATCTCGTCCGGCAGCGACTCGGACGCCCAGGTCTACAAGGTGGTCCTCCTGGGCTCGGTTGGTTGTGCATCTTTTTCTTCCACACTTTTTCCTTCCACTCAACTTTCTGTTAACATGCTTGGATACAGCACTCTGTGAACAGCCAGCTTCTTTGGCAATGCATGTTTGTGGCTTACCCTCCTTGTGAAGGGTGTCAATGATTGTCTTCTGGACAACTGTCAGATCAGCAGTCTTCCCCATGATTGTGTAGCCTAGTGAACCAAACTGAGAGACCATTTTGAAGGCTCAGGAAACCTTTGCAGGTGTTTTGAGTTGATTAGCTGATTGGCATGTCACCATATTCTAATATGTTGAGATAGTGAATTGGTGGGTTTTTGTTAAATGTGAGCCAAAATCATCACAATTAAAAGAACCGAAGACTTAAACTACTTCAGTCTGTGTGCAACTTTTCCACGACATTCTAATTTGAGATGCACCTGTGTGTGTATATGTGTATTGTTTTTTATATATATAAAATAAGTTATATAAAGATATACTGTTATGTGAAACATTTTAATGCCACTGTATACGATGCCACAAGATTCATTATGCTAAAATCTATGCATCTCCAAATTAAAAACAATAATAGAAAAATCATCAAAAACAAGGCATCAAATTATGTAAGTAACACTAATAAAGTTTTATTTGTCCATCACTTTTTTTCACAGTGAACATTATTTCAAAGAAGCTTTACAGAAATGTATGATGTTAATATTTATAATATCTTAATGCACATTATGTAAACAATCAAGGTGCTGAGATTTGTTACATAATAAATCGTTAAAATAATAAATTATGCAAATGTATCACAGCAAGTCATTTACTGTATTTTTTAGTTTTCCAAAATGTTTCAATATACAACAGAGGCTAAATATATATAATTTACTTTTGCTTAAATTGTTCTTACAATTATTAGATATTTAAATGTAAGCAAATATCACAAACTTTAATGTTGTTAACAGCATAAATATACAAATGGCAAAACAATTGACTGATCTCAAATCTCAGAAGTGTTAAATGTACATATAAGCTCATATGTACGTACACACATTTTTCTATAATCGAAATCTAAAATCCAAATAAGGTTCCAAAAATGAGATAATTTTACCTTCATAGTCATTCCTACATTTTTGTTTCTCAGTAAGTTAATGTGGTTCTCATGAGGTGTGCGTGTCTGTGTGTGTGAGAGAGAGAGTGTGTGTGTGTGTGTGTGTGTGTGAGAGAGAGAGAGAGAGAGTGTGTGTGTGTGTGAGAGAGAGAGAGAGAGTGTGTGTGTGTGTGTGTGTGAGAGAGAGAGGGTGAGTGTGTGTGTGTGAGAGAGAGAGTGTGTGTGTGTGTGTGTGTGTGAGAGAGAGGGTGTG